TGTATAGTACACTAGGTGGGGGCCTACATCATCCCTTGTACTTTTTTTAGATAGTGTCCACAGAAGATCTCTCCGTGTGTTCATTTTACTTTCATTAGTTATTTAGAAGCATTTTGAGAGTTAGACATTACGTGGGTAGCGCTGACTGGGCCCATTAAGGACCGGCAGAGTTTGTAGGGAAATGCTGTGACAAACTGAATGTTGGTTTAAGACAGTGGTCTCAAACTCAATTCCTGGAGGGCCGCTGCTCTTCATAGTTTAGCTCCAACCACCGCCACTCACACCTGCTTAATAGTCTCTAGTAGTCTCGAACACCTTGATGAGTTGGATCAGCTATGGCTCAGAGCTGTGGTCCTTCAGGAATTCAGTTTGAGACCCATGGTTAAAGGCCTGCAGGAACCGACAACCTAGAGGCACAGATATGTAGTTACATAATAATAAAAAAAACATATACAACTAATGAAAGTCTTTAAATGAAACCTTGTTCTACCACAGACAGACAGACAGACAGACAGACAGATAGATAGTTAGAGATAGATAGATAGATAGATAGATAGATAGATAGATAGATAGATAGATAGATAGATAGATAGATAGATAGATAGATAGATAGATAGATAGATAGATAGGATTTATTCTGGTAACAGCATTGGTTCTACTGTTTTCAGAGCTGTGATCTCACTCTTGAGGTTTAGATCTGTTCTGCTGACTGTAAAAACTCAGTTAGACCACACTAGTTTCAGCCAGACAGAGCAGTGGTCAGTCTATAGAGCAGTTTAGCTGATGGAGTGAATCATTCTGGCTCAGTTCCTCTTTATACTGCTGCAATTTTTTCAAAGGCATCATGTTTTTTTTTTGTTTTTTTTAAATGTGTAAAGGCAGTCAGAGAATGTCTTCAATCACACTATAACTGTTATTATTGTACTGCCTAATCACATTATGAAAACTGTAAACTATGTTGTGATGAACAGTGCTTTTGGATTTTGAGGGCAGGGCTTACATCATGATTTACTGGTGTAATGAAGTCACTGAGCAAGGCTCCTCCCTCTAATGGAGCTCATTAGCATAAACGCTTCACTGCTCAATCAGCAGTTACTGTGGTTGTTTACTAGCTAGCAGTGTCTTCATCATTTAAACAAATATTAGCTAATTGAGAATTTAAAAACAGCTCAGCCTTCTTATTTAAATAACTCTTGTATCTCTAATGTTAAGTTCACACTGCATGATTTTTGTAAAAAAAAAAAATAATAAAAATCGCAGATTTCGTTATCTCCAAAGAGATTCAAATTACTCTGTGATGTGCATGCATGGTCAATGTGCCCAAAGCTCAGGGGAAGATATGACTACGTGTCAACTTGACCCATTAAATTAAGTAGGTTCCATGAGAAAAACATACAGGACAGCACTGGACGACATTCTTGCTGTACTAGTTGGAGCGAAAGATTTCACAAAGCTTGACACAACATCTGGGTTCTGGCAGAGTTGAACTATGCCTGAACCAACAGGGGTGGAAGGCGTAAGGAGACTGTTGAACATGGCTAATTATCTGGGAAAATTTCTGCCTCACCTTGCATCACAGTCAAAGACCTGCTTAGAGAGAAAAACGAATGTTGGTGGATACCACAAAAACAGGCAGTTAAGAAACTGAAAGCAGAATCGAGTTCTTATGGTGTGTTTTCCCAGAACTCACTGACAGCAGAGACATGTGTTGCTACAGATGCCTCCTCTATGGGTTTGGGGGAGTCAAAAGCAGTCAGATGGTGCATAGAAACCAGTAGTGTTCATCTAAGGAGGCCTTTCTGAGGCAAAAAAAATGCACAAATAGAAAAAGAGGCCCTTACTGTCACATGGACAAGTGAAAGTCTTATCTCCTTGGTTTAAAGTAAAAACTAGACACAGATCACAAGCCACTGCTATCATTGCTGAGCACCAAAGCACTGGATAAGTTCCCTCCACGAATCCTGCGGTTTCGGCTAAGACTGATGAAGTTCACATTTGACATTGTGCATGTCGTGGGTTAACAGATCAAAACACAAGGGTACATCATCACAAGCCCTTGTGAAATGCACATTTATGCAGAAGGAGGAAGATAATGAGGAGGATGTGAAAGTGTTGATGGATGGAGTGATTCAGACCCTCCCAGCTACTGAGGAAAAGTTGACTATTATAATAAAGAATCAGAAAGCAGATCCTATTTGTGAAAAACTCAATCTAATACTGTGAAACTGAGTGGAAGGTAAAGCTTGCTCTTCCCCCTGAGTTGGGGCCATACTGCCCTAAAAGAGAACATCTTACTGTTGCTGGAGAGCTACTCCTCAGGGGAAAGGCAAGGCAAGAGGTCCTTCATAAGATACACAATAGTCCCAGGGTGTAGTCAAGTGCCGATCAAATCAAATCTTCATTTTTCACATACACTTTTGTATAGTAAAATTGACTTTTGTTTGGATAGCAGGGCATGGAAAGCCTCAGAGATAGAATAAGACAAAGACTAGAGGAGCTAGCAAGGAGAGATATGGGACGGATAGGGAAAAAGTGTGACCGCCTTCGACGAGAGCGAATAAGAAGATATAGGGCTCGCGAGGTTATCTAGTGGCCAGGACTGTCCATTCACATTACTCAATTTGTGGAGAACTGTACTTCATGTTCACAGCATAGGATAGAAAATAGTGAACCCTTGCTGACAACCCCAGTGCCTGAAAGACCCTGGCAACAGGTGGGCACACACTTATTTTTCTGGGAAAAGATTAAATATCTTCTGGTTGTGGAATATTTTTTTACATTACATTGTTATTGCAGCAGTAAAGTATGTGTTTAATCATCATGGGATTCCAGATACTGTTATGTCAGACAATGGACCGGTTTACAGGTTTATACACATTACCAGAAGCCTGAAATACCCACAGGTAAACTGAAAGGCAGAACGTGGCAACACTAAAATGACTATGGAAAGGGGCAAAGAAAAAACAAAGGTTTTTATATTGTGCTACACGGAGCAGGATTGTCTAGAGCAGGGGTTTCAAACTCGCGGCCAGCGGGCCATTTGCGGCCCTCAGTGCAATATTTTGTGGCCCGCGCTGACCGCTGTACACTGTCAGAATCAGCGGAGCGGGGAGACTCGCGGAGCGGGGAGACTGGCGGAAAGTGTTACTGGCCGGGTTCTGGCGCGCCGGGAACTCGCGCCGGCCAGAACCAAGGTAAGCTGTTCCCGCCCCTGCCTGCTACTTAGCTACCGTAGCCACCTACTTAGCTACAGCCTGCATCTTATATATATTATAGGTAGATACAGACTGGCATAGACTGATGTGACTGGAGTGGGGTGGGGGTGTTTTATTTAAACATATATACGCCCTTTTTTTAGGTGAGGGAATGGAAGTTTTGAGTGAGTCTAGACAGGTCTAGACTTAATGATGATCATCTATGAGCCATACTGAGGGTCTCAACTGCTTCCGCTCTAAAGCCAAATGTGGTTCAGGTTTGTGAGAAGAAGCGCTGTCAAGTCTCTGGCAGCAAGAAGTAGGCAAAAGATGCCATGTTCAGAAGAACTGTTCATAATCTTCACTCAATGTTCTATTAATGTTCAGGACACTTCATGTTCAGAAGAAATAATTAAAACTGTTAATAATGACATTTGAGGACTTTTTTTTTGTGTGAAATCCCTTATGCGGCCCAGCCTCACCCAGACTTTGCCTCCTGCGGCCCCCAGGTAAATTGAGTTTGAGACCCCTGGTCTAGAGAATGGTAACTCCACTCCCCAGCACAACATGGGGAAAACCCCTCGATGGGCAAAAATTAAAGGGTTTAGGAAGTTTGAGAGGCGAGTAAAGGAAAAACAGTTATGCTGGCATGACATGTGCCACAGAGTATATTCCTGGCCAACACTGCAACCTGGGAAAAGTGTGCGGATGCCAAAAGAAGAATCAGAAGGGACAGTCATGGGTCCAGTGGAAACAGCAAGGTCTTACAGTCTCTACTACAATGTTTGGATGAGGTTAAACCAAACCTGGGTGTCAAAGAATTTTCTCCAATTAAATGAGAACAAGTCAGAGATTATTGTATTCGGTCTATCTAAGACAAAAGAGACAATTGCAAATGCTCTTGCCCCCTTAGAAATCTCAATGAAAGACAATGTGAGAAATACTGGGGTCATGATTGATTCACCCCTTAATTCTTCATCCCTTAATTCAGGGGTCAAAGCAAGAAGGTCAATGGTTCGAGCCCCAGCTGGGTCAGCTGGCATTTCTGTGTGGAGTTTGCATGTTCTCCCCATGTTGGGGTGGATGTCCCCCGGGCGCTCCGGTTTCCCTTACAGTTCAAACACATGCGCTATAGGACAATTGATGAACTAAATCTCTTTGGACTGTAAGGGACACCAGAGCAACCGGAGGAAACCCCATGCAAACGCAGGGAGAAAATGCTAACTCCACACAGAAACACCAACTGACCCAGCCGTGACTCAAACCAGAGACCTTCTTGCTGTGAGGCAACAGCACTACCTACTGTGCCACCGCATCACCTATTGTTATTATTATTATTATTATTATTATTATTATTATTGCATTTGTAATAAATTAATTATTCCATTAGGCACTAGGCAGGATTGAATCTATGATTTCAGTTTTTTCCCTTTCATTACTTAGCATACTTCTTTTTTCCTTTTTTCCTTTTTTTTTGTGGGGTCAGTTTGGGTTAGCATAAGTGTTATGTTTTTAATTATTGTTAAATAACTGTATTCCATTATTATTCTGTATGTTGAAAACCAGCAGATTATACTACGCATTCCACATGTAGTGCGCTTATAGTTAGTCAAACATCTGCTTAATAAAAAAGGAAATTAAAAAAGCAATTGCAGTGTGAGCAGGGCTTAACAGATTTAGACAAATGCGTGATCAATATTTGAGAAAAGTTTTTTGTTTTGGCCTTTTATGTAGATAGAAATAGTTTTAGAGCTTTGTAGGGTGGATGGAGCAGTCAACAGTGACATAATGACGCATAAATGGCTCGGGTGATGCTAGGATTTTGGCAAACCTTTAATATGGAAATCAAATAAAATCTAGTGATTCGCTAAAAGCTCAGCTTCTGATTTATACACTGTGAAAAACTACAAATAAGATGCAAATAAGAAGTTTTGATGGATTTATTTGCTATGTATGAAGCACATTATGCTCAATATTTCAGAACCAACTTATTAATAAAGCAATAAATAAACAAGCAACATGTTAGCTGAAATAAAACATGATTAAAATCTCTCAAAGCTGCAAACATCTGCACTTCAACTGTTGTGATTATTTCCTTGAGTTTTCCATGAGCTCTGAATTCTAGACTGAATATCTGCAAAAGAAGATATAAAATGTTAAGTGTCACTTTAATATATCTTTGTTGTTGCTATATTCAGATCAAATTTAAATTCATCTGTGTCTATGAAAATGAGCTTTATTTAGACTGTTGGTCAAATGTGTGATTTAAGGATAAAGAAGTTTAAAGCTGACAGACTCATTCAGTCGTTAAACACTGATGAAGAGGTGCTGCTTGTCAACAGGGAAGATGCTACACATTGCAGTGACAGAGAGCACAAGCTCGGTAGTGGTAATAAGTGTGGGAGGGGCCGAGAGCCATAAGGGTGGAGCAAGCTTAGTAGCCTGAGTACGAGAAGCTCCAGATGGAGGCTTTTGTTTTAAAAGGGTTTACTCTATGATTTAAGTTGCTGCACATTCGCTGGCCCCTGTCTCTTTCTTTAAAGGTGCAGTTAGTTTGACACCCAGTGGTAGATTTTGCATTTCTGGATCAAAACACACAAGCGCAGACTGCCAGATTGAGGGTCAACAGAAGTGAAGCTGACTATAGAGAGTGAAGGCTGATTTAAATGTGTTATAAATAAAAGTATTGGCACGCTATAGGAGTATTTTCCATATTAAAAAGAGGTTTTGTCCTAACCAACACCTCAAACTGATATATTAGAAACCGTTTCTATTTTTTTTGCAGCTGAACAGAATACTTGACGACATGATCAGCTCAGCTACAGCTCATGTGCTTTACTCAGTGTTAAGTGCTAATAATGTGAGTTTCACAAGACATTTATTACCATACTACTGAGAGCAGCAGCAGATAGTTCAGCTCAGATCTGGAGAATAAAATAAAGCGTCTGAAACTGAACTCTAGAACTGTGAAATAATGCAAACCAACGCATATCAGTGATTCAGCATCTACATTTAATCATGTTCAGAGACAGCCGTTCTGGCACATAATGCACATGTTCAACGCAGAATATATCTGACTTCAGCATTGCGTTTCAGATAAACAAGAATTTTTTATTTTATTTTATTGTTTTCTTTTTAAATATCTGCAAACATTTTATGGTATTTTTATGATTCATACAGCACCTTTAACACTCCATGCATTTCGAGAGTAAACTCAATACCCACAAAGAAACTCAACACGGAGATGAAACATAAATATAGCAACATAAACTTCCAGCTACCTTTTCGAAAGTATTGTCAGAGCAACACAAACAGAATGTAGAAGTATAAATGCAAAACTATGAGCAAGTAATGCACAGTTAGTTACATTGATCACTCAACATAATATAATAGTATAAATAAGCAGATTGGCACTGACTCACTAAGTGGCTCCACCCCCCCTCTCACAGTGGGCACCATCTGACTTATCTAAACAAATAAGTGAGAGCAGGAATGTGAAATAAAGCAAAGGGACTGTTCACACATCACATCTAAAAGCGTGAGGCATGCCAGCTGGCGATTCTGTGAAGTCTAATGTCACCAAGCAAGCATCAGCCATACTTTTTGATAAATCACCACTCACAAGCCCTTGCTGCAGCTCTAATAAAAGATTCATTCAAGGAGGAAATTAAAGAGAACTGCAGTGTTTAGGTACTCTGCATTTGTCTGAGGAAAGTAGTCTTAAGCCTCCTTTCCACTGCACACGACAAGCGACAGACCGGAAGTCATTCATTTCCAATGGAGAGCAGTCCGGGAGCTGCATTGAGCTCTGATCATCTCCGTATGCGGAAAATTCGGATCAGAATTGAGCTGCGGATCCGTTGAAATATTTGAACTCCTGCGACTAGACCGTATGTGACCTGCCGACCGGATATGATGTATTCCAGTGTTGTCCAAGCAGGTCCGTGCGCACGAGATGAGAAATAGGAGTTTATTTGGTTATTTTTTGAATTATAAAAAGTTTATATTAGAAAAAAAAACCTTTTCTGTTCATAAATGTAAGTAAGAAAGTAATAAAAATATATATTTTTAATGTTGTCTCCACATTCCCTCCAATATTTTACTGTTCTATGAGTTTCTAGCATTCAATCATTCATTAAACCATGTAAACGCACAGAGAATAAAGGCTCTTGCTTTTGTCCTCCTTTATTTCGGACACCGTGAGAATCAGCTTCTCTTCCACCCCCCAACACCCCTGAAAATACTGTGCGGCTGCCACAAGGGGGCATATTCTGACAGTCGTGTCCAAATGTCATGTGCAGTGGAAAGGCGGCTTTAGGCCCAATCCCAATTCCACCCCATGGCCCTGCTCCTCACCCCTCGTTTTGCGCGTTTATGAAAAAGGGTAGGGGTGTCCCAATTCTCTTTAGCTTGAAGGCGTATGGCTAAGGGGAAGGGGAGAAGACCCATTCGAATGAAGATATTTCAAGACCAAAACCAAGGGGTAAGAAAATTTCCCAGAATACACCAGCTACAGTTGCACCCGGAAGTAAGGCGATCCACAAATAAATATTTTTGTTATTATTACGAATGTTTACAACAAACAAAAAAGTTGATGTTTTAATACATTCATAAAAAAATGCTAAAAAAAATAAAAAAAAAAACGCTAAATTTGGCGATCTATAATCCATAATCATAACTCCTGCACGGCAGTCCCACAACAATATGACACTAGAATTCTCTGTCAGTAAAGTCTAGTAGCTTGGAATGAGCTTTTAACAGTGTCCGCTATAGTGTAAATGCTGTTTTGTGTGTGTTTACATGAGGAATATGGCCACTGTGTAAATGTGCAGTATAGTTATGATCTTATTGCCACATTAGATCATCATGATAGCATAATATATGCCTTCAGTGATTTCCTGAACATAAAAAGGGGTAGGGGTACAACAATAGAATTGGGATTGGGCCTTAATGTTGATACTGAAATGTTTAAAATCTGGAAAAGGCGAGTGCGGTTTCTGTACAGTTTTATGATACAGAATCTTTGTATTATTAGATAATTGTAATTCTTAAGATTACATAATGCATTAAGATCCATCATCCTCTATTTTCAGTTTAATCCTCTAACTCATATTGCTCTTAGAAAAATTCTAAATAATGATAGTGTAAGCTTTATATGACATTAGCATTTTATTGTTTTAGTCATCATGTAGAAAATTACTTTGCCTTTCTTTTCTTTTTTTTAAGATAATTATTAATATTTCTTGCACCAGAATCAAAAGGTGGTCAGAACACACTGAGTGGAAGACCCCCTGTAAATGTTTGCCTCAGGCCCCAAAAAAAACTCTAGAATCTTCTCTGTACGCAGTCAGTGAAGGAGATCAGATCTACTCACTTCATTCTCTTCCACATGTGTTCTGCTGGAGTCTCTGAAAACACCACAGACGTCAGCAGCTAAACAGAGGAACAACACATGAGACACACACACCTAATAATCTCACACACACACACACACACACACACACACACACACACACACACACACACACACACACACACACAGCTTATAATCTCACACACTGACCTGATAAACAACTGTCCAAAACTTGAGAAATATGCTAAACTAGACAGAACCATTTGAAGAACATCTTTAATGTTGGCTTTGATTTAGTCTAGCATGAAGGTTTGAAGTCATTTTAAAAGCTTAAGAATTGAAGCAGTTTCGAATAGTTAAAATAGTGGTTGCTAGGATAAAATGAATGGTTGCTTGGTAGTTCCTAGGGTAATAATCCCCAACCCTGCTCCTGGAGGTCGACCTTCCAGCAGAATTTAGCTCTAAGCATTGACCAAACAGACATGAATCACTTAAAGGGCACCTATTTTACCACTTTTCCAGATCTAAGATCAGTCTTTTGTGTCTCTAGAATGTGTCTGTATAGTATCAGCTCAAACATCCATCAGGTTATTGATTAGAGCTTTAGAATATTGGAATTTTCTGCTCTAGACACACTGGAGCTGTCTTTGTGGCCTGTGCCTTTAATGCTGGTTCTCCCTGCCAACCATCCTCACATGCCTGTCAGAGTGTGCCTCAATCTCTGCTTCATCTGCGTCAGATAAACAGCACAGTGATAGACATGAAGCAGATCTCACGTAACAATCGTGAGAAATACTACAGTAAGAACTTTACCAATGATTATTGGATGTGTTTGTTGTGGAGTTGCAACAATGAGTCACACACAATGTCATTACAAAGTTCACCCACACACACACAAACTTGCGTTTCCGGTCTGTTGCTTTCCCATGCGTATGAATAAAAGTCTATGTGACCACAGCCTTTGTGCTGGCTGTCCAGCTGCCAGGGTTTTCTGAGAGGTTAATAGCATGTTTATAGCACGATAAGCAGGTCTCATCTTTAAGCTACTTCAGTACTTTTCATTCCAGCATCAGATTCATCCTGAAAATCTTTCTATTAACTCTGTTAATCTATTGTATTAATCTCCAGTTAGCTGTGCAGGTCGGTCTGGTTTCTCCTTATGCTAAAACAGATATTCATCACTGATATGATCATACTTACAGAAGAGTCACAGTCCTCATCTTTACCATCTGCAAAACAAATTCACAAATATCTGTAACGAAACACTGAAATCTCTGAACCGAGTCATCTGACAACAGTCTGTGATAATGCATTCTTAAACAGCGGCTATAAAACAGCAGCAAACATCTTAGAAACATCTTAGAAATAATCTAACCTCAGAAACTTTAGTCACAATCAAGATTTTAGTTTCAGGCCTTTGTTGACGTCACGTTTCTCTGCTATAAGGAGAGTTTGTGTTGTATAATATTAATAATGATGAAACTTACCAGCTAATCTGTTGTGAATCAGCCAGACAATAAGAGCAGAAAACAGAAGAGCAAACACAGCGACGACAGCAACAATCACACTCACTGCTGAGAGAAAGAGGAAAACAGCTTCAGAAAACAGCTTCAGACTCACCATCGCATTACAAACAGCACTGACAACTCGCGTTACTGTTAGTATTATTAATGCTATCACTGACATTTCCTTACAACGCTGATGATTTAGCATTCCCCAGAGCAAAATGAAAACACTTCTTGACCACACTGACAAGTCCAATCAGAGTCTGTGATTTACTATTAAAATATCTAGAGAATCATTTTAGAAGAAAACTGTATCTGAGAGACACAGAGAAACACTCTGATGAGGATCCTGCTAGATTTATAGTTGAGTTTGACCAGAAACACCCTCAATTTAATGTCCACTCGTTACTGTTTTGTAGTCTGTTTTTTTTGGCTCATATGGTCCTGTATCATCTCCCCGAAGGTAACATTTGAAGCAGAACTGCCGCTCTAGGCTGACGCTGCCCTCTCTATTCTGTCACCCATGTTCGAATATAACCGAGGACGCGGGTAGTGAGGGAGGTGTCGCTGACATAACTGAGGTGTGGAGGTGTCGCTGATGCTGCCCTCTCTATTCTGTCGCCCTATGCGTGAATATAATCGAGGATGCGCGGGTGACGCAGACCTCTTTTCTGTCGCCTATGTGCGGATATAACTGAGGACACAAGGGTAGTGAGGGAGGTGTCGCGGATATAACTGAGGACTTGCGGGTGATGATGGAGGTGTCGCTGACGCTGCCCTCTATATTCTGCCGCCTATGCGCAAATATAACCGAGGATGCGTGGGTGACGCGGACCTCTATTCTGTCGCGCTATGCGCGGATTTTACCAAGGATGCGCGGGTGATGCAGACTTCTATTCTGTTGCCCTATGCGCCGATATAACTGAGGACACGCGGGTGCTGATGGAGGTGTCGCTGTCGCTGCCCTCTCTATTCTGTCACCTATGTGCAAATATAACTGAGGACGCGGGTAGTGAGGGAGGTGTCGCGGACATAACTGAGGACATGCGGGTGCTGATGGAGGTGTCGCTGATGCTGCTCTCTCTATTCTGCCGCCCTATGCGCGAATATAACCGAGGATGCGAGGGTGACGCGGACCTCTATTCTGTCGCCCAATGCACGGATATAACTGAAGACGCGGGTGCTGATGGAGGTGTCGCTGACGCTGCCCTCTCTATTCTGTCGCCTATGCGCAAATATAACAGAGGACGCGGGTAGTGAGGCAGGTGTCTCGGATATAACTGAGGACACGCGGGTGCTGACGGAGGTGTCGCTGACGCTGCCCTCTCTATTTTGCCACCCTATGCACGAATATCCAAGGATGCGCAGGTGACGCGGACCTCTATTCTGTTGCCCTATGCGCGGATATAACTGAGGACACGCGGGTGCTGATGGAGGTGTCGCTGACGCTGCCCTCTCTATTCTGTCGCCTATGCGCAAATATAACCGAGGACGCGGGTGGTAAGGGAGGCGTCGCGGACGCCACCCTCTCTATACTGCCACCCTAGGCGGCTGCCTAGTTCGCCCCTATGGACGCGCCGGCCCTGGCTGGATGGGATGAGTCCTTCAAGATGCTGTTTTTTAGCACCCTCAGGAAAAGGAGTTGCTGCTGTGCCTTTATGACCAGTGATGTAGTGTTGGTTTGCCATGATATGTTTTGGTCCAGAAGCAAGCCAAGATACTTTAAAGAGCCCATATTATGGGTTTTTGAAAATTCCCCTCCATGTAGTGTGTAACACAGCTCTAAGTGAAGTGAAGTATCCAGCTAAGGCTTAAATCTGTAAGAATACAGTGTTTAAAACGGTTGATTCATCTATAAAAGAGTCGACTCATAGTGCTTCAAACGAGTCGCCTTGATACCGACTCATTAGGTGTTTCGCCATGACGTACGAACGAAACCAAGTTATTCACGTGCACGCGCAAACCCGGGAGATTTCAAACCTGAGGCCCCGCCCTCTGACGCAGAAACCCAGACACACACACACCCACACACACACACACACCCACAAACACACGCACACCCACAAACACACGCACACAAACATGCCGGTTGATTGAAGTCACACTGCAGATGGATATATTGAGTCTCTACCCAAAGATGAAACATCAGCATTATAGCCAAGCAGTTGGAAACTTCTGGAAGCTACATGCTACAAAGAATACTTCATCTGAGTTTGTTAAAGGAAGGATCAGTAAAGAGTAACTGATGGACGTCAGGATGGGTTTCTTCCATTTCTCAAGTGTAAGTACGTGCGGTTAAAGTTGTTGCCTCGTTTACTCTAGCTTGCAAATGTATTTAGTTGTGATTTGTTACTTGTAACCGCGTGTACTGTATCAGGTTAACTGGCGACGCGTGCTGTTTGTTTATGGAGCTCCGTGCTAGAGTTCTGCTCCCGCGATTTATTCGGAAATTTATTCCCGCGCCGCAGAAATCTGGCGCGGGGACAGCCGCGGGAATAAATTTCCGAATAAATCGCGGGAGCGGTCGGTAACGGGTTTAATTTGGGACGGGAGCGGACTGTCTAGCAATATCACGGATATTGCTATGCGAATTAGAAAGAGAGAGTCTGCGTGGTGCTTGTGTGTGTTAGTGCGCACGCGCGCGTATGAGAGAGAGAGAGAGAGAGAGAGAGAGAGAGAGAGAGAGAGAGAGAGAGAGAGAGAGAGAGAGAGAGAGAGAGAGCGCGAACGAACGAACGAACGAGCTTTGTGTGCTTTGTGCTGTGTGTATACAGACAGCTTGGCTGTCTGGACTGTATACTGGGTGATTTTTGGTTGTGTTCTCCGCTCTAGCGGGACCGGGCGCGGCGGGCAGAAAACGGAGCGGGTTCTCAGGCTAAAACCTGGTGGGTGCGGGCGGAAGCGGGAGCGTTGTCATCCGGAGGTGTGTGTGTGTGTGTTTTTGTGTGTGTGTTTTTGTGTGTGTGTGTGTGTGGTATGGCGAGTACACGACTGTCTCCTTCATTCGGTTATCCGTGGCACTATCCACTCGCCATAGTGTGGCAGCTAAAATCCACGTCTACACTATGGAGCGTGTATGAACTGTGATTACTTTTTAAATTGCTGATTAGCTATTGGCCATTTCCCTCTCTGACTGAAGGCAGTCGACCAATCGCGACAGACTGTCATCGGCCCAATCAGCGCAGATTAGCTCCGCGCTAAGGAGGGGTTTGGGAACAAATGAATCACTGGACGATTCATACAGGAGTCGCTGGGATAATTAGGTAAAAATAAATGCAGATTATAAGACCATGAAAGTGTTTTTTGACCTTGCATGCATATTAGACTGTTGTTGGAGACCCTTACAACTACGATATGACCCTATTTCATGTATAATATGGGCTCTTTAAGGGCCTACTCACACTATGCCATCCGTACCGTGCCCAGGCCCGTTTCCTGGATCGTTTGAGAAGTGTGAGTGCGCTGAATCGGGCTCAAGCACGGTTCACTTGGCCGGCCCTGGCCCGGTTGGAAGAGGTGTGCCTGAGCGCGGTTCACTTGGGCTTTGGCGCGGTACGCTTGTATGTGAGTGCAAAATGCGCCAAAGCCCGAAACTAAAAGCGAAACGTGACTTTTAAGGGGCTGTTTCATATGGATTTATTAATCATTCGTACTGTTCATTCAGTGAACGCAAACTGCCATAGTTTATTAAAGACGCAAACCCCTCTGCACGACAGCTGCACCTTCAGCAGGCTTTATGATTGTTTATGAGCGCCAAAAGTGGCGGATCTGTTTGGCGAAATATCTGACTGTGTGTCCCCGCATCCCTAAGGACTGTTTGGCGAAATATTTGACGGCATATCAAATGACTGAAAGATATAACTAGAGAAATCTCCACTGTGCCACTCCACTGAGTTCACAGAACAGTGCAGCAGCGATGGCGTAAGCGTGCCAAAGCCCGTTTGTGGTGTGAGCACGGGCCGTCGGGGGAGACAAGCGTGCTTTGGCCCGGTTCGAGGCAACTGTAGTGTGAGTACGGCCTAAGTCACTGACAATCTCCTCACAGTCCCCATGTATATGTATTAGCAGAGTATCTGGTCTGTTCCTCCTGAAATCCACTAGGATTTCCTTTGTTTTTAAGGTATTGAGGGCCAAGTTATTATCAGTGCACCATAAAGCCAGTTTATTTAGTTCATCTCTGTATGAACTAATCCATCTCCTTCTGTCACGAGCCCAACACTGCAATATCATCTGCAAGCTTCAGGATAGAATTACCTGAATGGAAGGGAGTGCAGTCATGTGTATAAAGAGTGTACAGTAAGTGACTCAGCACACATCCCTGTGGGGAGCCTGTGCTAAGGCTGAGTGCTGGAGGGACATGGTGCTTTACCTTGACTCTCTGTGAACGGTTCCTAAAGAAATCTTGAATCCAGAGGCAAATGGAGAGAGGGAAGCTGAGAAGATTTAGTTTAGAGCCCAGTCTTTTCTGAATTATTGTATTAAATGCAGAGTTAAATGCAATAAAGAGAAGCCTGGCGTAGCTGTCTTTATGTTCTAGATGGGTCAGGGTAGTGTGAAGGGTTATAGCTATGGCATCCTCTGTTGATCCTCTGCATCAAATGTGGGAGGAAGTCTTTGGAGGATGTGAATTCTCACCAGCTCTTAAAACACTTCATCACAACAGGGGTTAAAGGCTACTGGAAGGTAATCATTTAGACTACTGATGGTGGTCTTTTTGGGACCGGGATGATTGTTGAGGCCTTAAGACAGAGTGGGAAAATGGCCTGAGTAAGGGACAGATTGAATACTTTTGCTCTCAGGTAGACTGTGATTTATAAAGCTACTGTATGTTGATTTTTAGGAAAGTGTATACGCAAAAGTTATATAAATGAGGCCTCGGGTGATTTTATGTATGAGTTCGGGTTGTGGACTGGAGACGCTGGTTTTGTTTCAGCTTTAGCTGTAAAATATGAATGTTAGCTCAGATTTACACTGTAGCATATCATAGTTTAACTCAACACACAAGACAACTCCAGTATTGCCCACTATAAAGCACGGAAGTGATCAACACACAGATCAGACCTGCTGTAGAAGATCCTGCTGGGTTTGGACTTTGTGGATCTTCAGAGTTTGTGTTGTGATCGGGACTCACTGCTGTTACTCTATTACCTTTAGCTGTAAAGGGTAAAGGTTAGCTCAGAATCATACTGTAGAACATCATAGTTTAATTAGTCACCACACAATGTAACTCTATACACTATAAAGCACTGACAAAACAGTGATGATGAACCTGATTTAGAAGTTCTTGGAGTGTTTGTTGGTGTTGTGAAGAGTCCTTGAGTCACTGCTGGAGCTGTGTTAGCTGTAAATGATGAACACAAGCTCACATAAATCACACTGTACAATATTACAACAACAGAGTCATGAGGGGGCGTGGCCAAGAGCTGTGGGAACAGAATGAGGCTGGGGACACGAGCTCATCGCCTTTTTACGCCTCCTGCTCAAGTTGTTTTGCTTTCAGTTTGCCCATTTGCGGTTTTATTACAAGTTTTAAATGTTTTTAAAAAGACAGCTTCTAAATAGCTGAGAAACCAAAAGATTTTAAAAATGTAAAGCCATCAGCTGAAAGATGAAAATATTTAGACAGAATGGATTGAATGCTGCTAAGAGATTTTTAAAATGCAGGACAGGAGAGAGTCAGAGAGAGAGACCTGGATGAATATCAGATGATGATGATGATGAAGATTATTACTTAAAGGAAATTAGTTTACAGTTATATCCTCTGTCTAAGAACCAGAACTGGGAGGTTGTGTCCGCGATCAGATGTAACTGGTCAGTATACTGACTGTAAGCAAATTCGAGTAAATACAGTCAAACATCTGAATTCATTCTTTATTTATGTATGCGATCAGGTCCTTACTTGAAATGTAATGATAACTTGAAATTGGAGCTGGAAACCAATTAAAATTAATTCTAACAAATACAAATATACATTTTCAAATGTGCTAGAAAAGGCTTACACACATTTAACCTTCAATCACGCTGTTAGTTCTGTCATTGGACTATTTTGGACTCTTCTTTACAAAAGAAAGTCGAGTGATTGGTCTAGGCGAATCACAAAGTCGATCATTCGACAACACATAATGATTGACTGAAGGGGAAAACTGAATTTACTACTGCTTAAACTGACCATAATGTTAAAATTACCATTAAGAACATGCAGAAAAAGACGTGCATCATGTCCATGTTTCCAGTCTTCTGTCCACTGTCGGCAGATGTAAAATCCAGCATCTTCTGTTGTGACTCTACTGATGATTAGAGAGCAGTCAGAGCCCAGATTCAGTCTCTCGTGTTTCTCTGAGTTTCTCCCCACACCAATCAGCTGAACCATCCGTGAATTAAGTGCTCTCCTGTAGAGCCATGTAGTTCCTGCTGGTCTGCAGTCCTGAACAGTATTTTCACAGGGCAGATGAACAGTTTCTCCAAACATGCTCAACACAGGAGTCTCTCCTGCTCCAAACACACCTGAAACCGTTATCATTTGAGAAATCAACATGCTATAAAATATTAAACAAAAAATTAAACATTTGAGTACAGAAAGCATCAGATTTTAATCAAAATGTCCCCCCCCCCCCTCACATAATCCAGCAGAAAAAAAAAAACAGCAAAGTTAACTTATTTTCCACTGCATCAGAGAGCTGTTCACATCTCACACACATGAAACCTGTTCTGCATTATATTGAGCCAGTTTTAGAGCAGTCAGGAATAATAAAGCCTGTGTTGTACACTATCAATAATAAAGGACTTGATCAATACAGATCAAACACTTGCTCTTAATCAATAAAGCAGATTAAAGTCTGTACTAAAGAAAGGCAGTGTGCAGTGTCCAGACTAAGAGTGAATGTAAATGTCCATCAGAGTAAATGCAGCAGTGTTTACCTGTGCTGAGTGTCCAGAAGATGAGCAGCAGAAACAGAGGACTCCTATCAGCCATTCTGTGTGTCTGACACTCGTCTTCTGCTTTATATATATATATATATATATATATGTTGAGCTCTTGTTTAAACAGCAGCAGCTCTTCCTGTGCTTCTGCAGCTTCCTCTCAGATCAGCCTCACTCTTTGTCTTCCTGACACTACACCAGTTTATAGTGGACAACTGTGTGTTTCTGTTGATCATTAAAGATGCTCTGAGCGACTTTCACCAAACACTTTTGACCACAGTGTCCCAAAACACACTTCAGCCAATCAGCAGAGAGGGGCGTGTCTAGTGACTCTAGCGTATCAAAGGGGGCGTGGTTCTATCTGCCAATTTCCTCCAAGATATGAGAGGCTGAAAACACTGATTCAAGAGCAGACATGACGATGAGACACTCGATAATAACAAAGGCTCCATTAAGACTCTTCAGCTCTTCTGAGTGTGTTTAAGACTCACTGATAACAACAATTCACCAGCTTTTATTAATAGTCCATTTCACTAACCAGGTTTTTCTGCCACATTGACTCATTTTATCATGACAGTTTTACTACAAATACCATGGTAAAACTATGTTTGGTGTTGTAAAAGCACAGTTAATCAGGGGTTAGCACAGCTGAGCATGGTAAACACACATTAACTCTGGTTTAGTGAATATTTAGCCTTAGTTAACAGGTTCAGTGTCTGCATTTGACTCCAGTGACTGCCAGTTGATGAGCATCAAATCAATAATGGAGCTGAAAATACCCTCGACACAGCAGATTTGCTCAACAATAAAGCTATAAATGTCTTTTAAATGCAAACTGAAACTGACAAATAAACAATAAACTATTCTCCATGACTGAAATTCCCTGACTTTCACTGTCTCCAATAGGCCGATAGCTTTAAAAACTCTCTGATATTGCAGAAATTGAGCCGTGAAACCAGTATAAAAGTGCTGTAAATTCACCAGTCCAACAATAAAGCAAGAGTAAAGGCTGAAATGTGTTTATTTCTGCAGGATTGTCTAAATGAGGGAGGAAATGCTGAGTTTGCTGTTTAATCTCAGTCCTCATCGAGACTTCAGCGCGGCTTCACTGACATCTAGCGGTCAGACTGAGAAACACACTCACAACAGCCAGATCTGCACACACACACACACACACACACACACACACACACACACACACACACACACACATCAATATATTACAGTCATCAACTAAAGCAACAGAACTGACCTGATTGTCCAGTTGAGTTGATCAATAATCCTTCATCAAGACGTCCAGTGAAGAGCCTGAGGAGATTAGTTTACTCAAACACCAATGAAGAATGTGTCCAAAAATCCTCCCAAACATGATCAAAAGCCCCAATATTCCCATTCAAATCCATGACAGAATCGTCCATCAATAGAGTCTAAGAGAAAGAGTCAAAGATGTCCAGAAACAGCTCACAAACACAGCTAGTGCTCCAGTCCAAACAGTGTTTCCCTCTAGAGATGCGCGGTTGGCGGTTATAGCCGCGGACTCCGCGGATAAACTGCGGATCAGGCGGATGACGTTACGGAAAAATAATATTTTAATTAAATTCGGGCGGGTGGCGGGCGGTTGTACTGTTTTTATAGGCATAGCTGGCGCACCAACGAAAAAGCCTAGGACTGACTTCACAGAATGGGAGGAGGAATCGGATACATTAATTCTGGATGAAGTGTACAGAAGTATTCCTCTACAAACTTCCGTATAGACGGATCAGCAGAGGAAAATCTACTTCCTTTTGGGAGAAATGAGGCCAGTCATTCCCACGACTACAGCACCTTTCCAAGAGAATTCTATGCATTTCAGCAACAAGTGCTGCGAGCGAGCGCTCCTTCAGTGCAGCAGGGCGCATTAGAGTGGCTATGCAGGCGCTCCCGTCTGAATCCTGACACAGATGCTATTTTATTCCTGCATTGTGCCAAGAAAAAATCAAACTAGACCTAAGGTCAGGCATATTAAACCAATTAGCCTATGTTATTTAGGCTACACATATGTTCAATAGAAACTTTTGAGTTCGGTCAGCTGATAATTTTACGTTCATATTGGTTAAGCCTATTCTATTCTAGACATGTTGGCCTCGCTTTTACGTTCCGAGGCTAAGGTTATTTTGCCAGAATTTCTTTGTCGCAACTGGCGTAGTATTTCGTTATGCTTCAAGTTTGAGGGGAATGGGGATAATCCTAAGTCCATGGGTTATTGGGGCACTTGTCATACATGCACTTAGCCTGGTCAGACTTTATGTTCACTCAAATAGGGATGGCATATCTGTTTTTCTAATTTAATTTCTAATTGTGGGGGTGACTGAGCCTAGATGGTTTAGGCAAAATATGACGTTTTTATTAAAAAAATGTTCAACTGTTTGCCAAAGCATGCGACTATAGCCTATGCCTACATTAAGATATTTATGTTAATATTTTTTTACTGCCTGTTGTTTCTTTTGGCATATAAAATAGGTATTGTCTGATAGAGATATAAATAAAGGTTCATCTTGTCGCAGAACTGGTGTTGTTTCTACAAGCTCAATAACATCCACAGCAAAAAATAAAAAATAAATAAATAAAAAAAATAGTCGAAAAACTGTGCCCATTAATTAGATGTGCAAGGCAAGCAGGTACGTTTTTGGGGTTGCTATGGACAACTACAAATGTAAACATTATTAGGCTATAATGTAAATGACTTATTATTCTATCTATTTACTAAAAAATAAAGTGAAATAGGCATTTAGTAGTAGGCTAAATAGCAGCATGTTGAAATGATGTGTCAATGCGTTTTCTATTAGGCTACAATAAAAAAAAGTTGTACAGTACAGTGCGTTTAATTTAGGCTATTTATTTACTTTTGTCCCTGTGCGCCGATTAGAGACGGAGTTCACTGCTGATATTCTGAGAGCTCGGGTGCTTCTCATTTCTTATTTGTGCATCCTCGTTTCCTTTCCTTGCTTTCTTTCCTCGTGTTTCCACCCCACCGGGATATGAGGGAAGGACGCAAGGAAAAGACTGAAGGACTGAGGAATCGAATCAAGTGAAAAGACACGTCCTCGTATCTTTAGCGTCACTTCAAAACGTCGTCAATTAATGACTTGCACGTTTGGATTAACTGCATGTCTACATTAAAGTCATTCTCTATTCTATAATGATCAATGAAGAAACATTCATTTAATAAAAGGAATAAGCCATTCAAATAAAGAGCCCAATCAGCAGATGGCGGGCGGGTGCGGTTTTAAAAATTGGTCAAAAATGTTACTGCGGATGGATGGCGGACGGATGATGAATTTTGTCATGCGGTTGCAGATGAAATAATAACCCATCCGCGCATCTCTATTTCCCTCCACAATCACACAGGCCTTCCTCTTGATATGGGGCCTACAGGAAGTGTCAAAATAAAAGTCCCTCAAATAGTCACAACATAATGATCAGAAAGAAAAACACAAAGCGCTGAAATGAAATGAAAGACAATCTAGAGATGTAATGTAGGGTCACTGAAGCACTTTATTGAGGATTTATTTGCTTCACATCAGTGTTTATATCAGAAGTCCAGCTTAATAACCAATACACAAACACAAATCACACAACATATTACTATAAACCAATAAACACAACTGAAATCAAGACACAAACCCAAGCTCAATCATTTAACTCATTTAAAGGAGACATTATAAAACACTTCATGTGTCTTAATGTCCCTAAACAAGCAGAGAAACCCACATTTCTGTCACACTTTACCTGTAATTAACAGTAAACACTGTAAAGAGCGAGCCTCAATCCACAGATGAAGTGAACAACACCACATTAAGCTTTAATTAAGCATTATTGGACTCTTAGTTTGACATTTGATTCCCCCAAACATGAAGTCAAATATTGCTCCAGAAGCATCAGATCACTTTAGTACTTTTAATGTGATGTAGAAAGCAAAGTAGGGCTTTATATCTCTGCCTGCACACAAATAAAGCAGATTCAACATGAAGGAATGGAGCTCAAATACAGTCTAGAAACATGGAGATGATGTTGGAGATCATGTGCCAAATGAAAAAGACATTTCTATAAAGCAAGACATGACAAAACTGGGCCTCAAATGAGTTGAAGAGACAAATGAAGATGATGATTGTAAGTTGTAACACAAACAGACAGTGCTGTAATTCTCCCACTGCAGTCTTCTCTTTCCTCCACAAACACAGCCTATTTTCCTGCTCTCTTTCTTTCTCTCTCTCTTTCTTTCTTTCTCTCTTTCTTTCTTTCTTTCTCTCTTTCTTTCTTTCTCTCCTTCAGAACAGCTGCTTTGTCCTCTTTCCAGTGCAGTAATATTCCAGCTGTGTTTGTTCTGCTCTAAATCTCTCCAATTCTCCACACTAAAGTCCTGAATCTGCGCATTTGAGGGAAACTTGTGCTCCTGAAATGCTGCAGTGATGCTGCTGTGATTTCTGCCTGTTTGTGTTGATCTTTATTCCTGAAGGCTCTTTTTCTTCTTCTGCACACATTAAGCTCTTCTGCTGACGGCGGCGTAAGTCACTGAGTCATTACCATCATCATCCTGAGAAACAGATTCAGCTCATCATCATCATCATCACACACACACACACACACACTGATTGTGCTGAATCTACTCACACTGGCTGATTTCTCCGGCTTTTTCCCAGCACAAGTGACCTCAGAATAAGTGACTGAATCCTCCGTCTGCTCCTAAACACAATGCAGAAGAGCAGAATCAAGCTGAATCCACTCAATCCGCCTGAAGATGTGGAGAAATCACTGATTTGGGCCACTCACATGGGCTCTGGCAGCAGGATTAATGGACATGTGGATTGTTTGATAGTGGACTTGATTCTCATCTTTGACCTTTACACAACAAACACTGCATGAGGGACACTTTACTGAGCTTTAAACACACTAAATCAATCAGTCCATCTAAATGACTGGCGTTACTGAACTCACCGCTGATTCACCGCTCGCTCTTTGATGAGCTGCTGAGGATTGAGGAGAAAACACAACAGAAAGTCTACTGGTTTCCATTACAGACAGCATTAAAAGATCCCAGAGCATCAGATTTGAGGCATTAAAAGCAGCACATTGTCCTGGTTTGTGCTGTGTTTGGCCACATTCTCCATTAGGATTGACTGCTTTTAACAGGCCACCAATAGAAGGCAGAAAATGAGGCACATGAGCAATAGAGTCTCCATTAAAAGCAATGGAATCTCCATTGTGCGCATTGTGAGCAGTAGTTTGCCATGAGCTCTTCTTCAGTGGTGTTTTGTTGTTTGCTCAGGGATCAGGAATGTTGCTCTTGTTTTCTGCTCATTAAAGTCAAGTGTTTGTAATTGGAGTAAATGTGAGACTCACCAGCTCTTCTTCTGCGCTGGATCAAACACAGAACAGCAGCGATGAAAACAGCCAAAGCAGCAGCAGAAAGCAGAACTGAAAGCACTGAACAACAGAAGCACTCAGTCAGATAAAGAGCATTCAGGACTACAACACACTAACTCAACACTGAACACTGAGTCTCCCGCATGGCCAGCAGATGTCCTCAGTCATGCATATATAGGCAACACACACGCTCTCTCTCTCTCTCTCTCTCTCTCTCTGTTAATCTCGTTCTGAATGTAAATATTATCTGTATCTTCATCTATATTGTTAATATCCTTGAGGTAAATGACTCCTAATGCACATTTTGTTTAATTATGGGAGTAACATCCTCAATTACATCATCATCATCATCATCATCATCATCATGTACCGTTCGAGGTTACTAAAGTAACCCTTCGTTCCCCGAGGAGGGGAACTCCAGCACTATAAGTGGATTTGATGTTATAAATCCACGTATGGGAGGTTCGGTTCAGAAGCTACTCATCTGAAAGAGTATTGAACAATTAAGAATGAATTGGCAGCGCAAGCCTGCGCAGGTGTGCGGCATATGCAATCAACTGAGTATATAAGCACGCCTGGCGCCAGCAGACGCTATACCTTTTAAGGTGAAGAGACTTTTAACAGCTAAGGGACAGTCATTATGGCGACGGAGTATAGTGCTTCCGTTCCCCTCCTCGGGGAACGAAGGGTTACTTTGGTAACCTCGAACGTTCCCCTTCGGGGGGAACTCCAGCACTATAAGTGGATTTGATGTTCTAAATCCACGTATGGGAGCCCATTAAAAAGCGCCATAATGACTGCACCTTACCAACACCCACCATGAGAGAGCGGTCAGGCAAGCGTGACACACCCAAATCATGAGAGGCAAGGTCCTCCAACATGCCCTTGGCCCTTACTTATCCCACTTCAAAAGAAGTTTTACGGAATAGGTATCTTTTTTGGGAGTCGCTAGCGTCTAGATAATTCTAGGAAATACGTCAGTACGTTGGGAATTGTGCCATCCCAGTAGGGAGGACGCTGCGGAGACCATCCGCACCCAATAGAGGGAACAAATGGAATTACATATGGACTAACCCTGAGAAGGGGGAGTGCGCATAAGAAGGTGGTTAGCGGATAGGGAAAGCACGGGTCCGCCCAGGGGGGGAACTTAACCGTGGCGGAAAAGCATATGGGGATCACCAGCGGGGATCGGCCATAGCAGGCACCTATACCCAAAACGCGGGCTGACCAGCGGGCAGACCTACTACGTAATGGGCCAGCAAGTGACTCCTCCGCTGAGTCAGTGCTGGGGGCCTCGGAGGAATCTGCAGGGCTCACCGTATGGGGAACTTACTGACAGACAGGAGGGTGCACATCTCTCCGTGTTAGGGAAAAAAGGCACCGCAAGCGTGTACAACACCTACCGAGTTGTTTCCTCAATCACCAAAGGTACCTAACACCCTTGAGGAAACCGGCTCCACTCGCAGATTATAAAATCTTGCAAATGAGTTGGGTGTCGCCCAGCCCGCAGCTCTACAAATGTCTGTTAAAGAAGCGCCACGCGCACACGCCCAAGAGGATGCAACGCTCCGAGTGGAGTGCGCATGCACTCCCGGGGGGCGCGGCTGACCTCTGCTCAAATATGCACATGAAATGGCCTCCACAATCCAGTGGGATAAACGTTGTTTAGACACGGCACTTCCCTGCTGCCGTCCCCCATAACAGACAAAGAGCTGCTCAGAAGATCTAAAGTTCTGAGTACGGTCCACATAAATGCGCAGAGCGCGAACTGGACAAAGTAAGGACAGGGCTGGGTCTGCCTCCTCCGGGGGCAGCGCTTGCAGAGTTACTACCTGATTTCTAAAGGGAGTGGTAGGAACTTTGGGCACATAACCCGGGCGGGGTCTCAGGATAACGTGAGAAAATCCCGGCCCGAATTCCAGGCACGAGTCACTGACCGAAAATGCCTCCAGGTCCCGGACCCTCTTAATGGAGGCCAACGCGACCAGCAGAGCTGTCTTCAGGGACAGAAATCTTAAAGATACTGTATCGAGTGGCTCGAAGGGATCAAATCGCAGGCTCGTGAGAACGAGGGCGAGATCCCAAGAGGGTGCGAGAGGGGGGCGAGTTGGATTAATTCGCCTAGCGCCTCTGAGGAACCGGATGATGAGGTTATGCTTTCTTACGGTGCCGCCAGCCACCGCGTCATGGTGAGCGGAGATAGCAGCAACGTAAACCTTGAGAGTGGAGGGTGACAGCCTACTGTCCAGCTTCTCTTGAAGGAAAGAGAGCACAACACTGATCTGGCAAGATCGGGGGTCTTCTCTGCGAGAGACACACCACTCAGTGAATAGACTCCACTTCAGGGCGTAGGCGCGGGCGGCAGGTTACCTAAGTCTTCCTCGCGTCTATGAACCACACGTGGAGGTTCCAGAGATCGGGACGAGGGTGCCAGACGGTGCCTTGTCCCTGAGAAAGTAGGTCCTCTCTCAAAGGGATCTGCCAAGGGAGGGCCGTCGCGAGGAGGGAGAGCTCTGATATCCAGGTCCGGTAGGGCCAGAGGGGCGCAACTAACAAAACCTGCTCCTCGTCCTCCCTGACCTTGCACATTAACTGCGCGATCAGGCTCACTGGGGGAAACGCATACTTGCGTATGCCCCGAGGCCAGCTGTGGGCCAGTGCATATGTGCCGAGAGAGCCCTCGGTCAGGGAATAAAACAACTGGCAATGAGCGTTCTCGGGGGAAGCAAACAGATCGATCTGGGCCTCCCCGAATCGCGCCCATATCAGCTGAACAGACTCTGGGTGGAGTCTCCATTCTCCAGAGTGAATCTGCTGCCGTGAGAGCACATCGGCTGCACGGTTGAGCATACCTGGGATGTGAATGGCGCGCAGCGACTTCAGCCGCGGGTGACTTCAGAGGAGCAGACGGCGGGCGAGCTGAGACATGCGGCGAGAGCGCATACCCCCCATGCGGTTGATATACGCCGCCGCCGCCATACTGTCCGTCCTGACCAGCACGTGTTGCTGCTCCAGCGCCGGAAAAAAACGCCGGAGAGCAAGGAACACTGCCAACAGCTCTAGGCGATTGATGTGCCAATGCAGCTGGGCACCTACCCACAGGCCCGCAGCTGCATGCCCGCGACACACGGCTCCCCAGCCTGTGCTGGAAGCATCTGTCGAAACAACAACATGACTGGACGCCTGTCCCAGAGGCACAGCGGCCTGCAGGAACGAGGGGTCGTTCCAGGGGCTGAGGGTGCGGCGACACAGCGCAGTAACAGAGACTCGGTGTGTGCCCGCATGCCATGCGCGTCTCGGAACTCGATCTTGAAGCCAGTGCTGAAGTGGTCTCATATGGAGCAATCCGAGCGGCGTGACAGCCGCAGCGGAAGCTATATGCCCCAGGAGCCTCTGAAAATATTTCAGTGGGACCACCAACTTGCTGTCGAGCTCCCTCAGACAGTTCAGCAGCAGGCGAGCGCGCTCTCCGGAGAGCCGCGCTACCATGGTGACCGAGTCCAGCTCCATCCCAAGAAAAGAGATCCTCTGCACTTTTCCCAGTTGACCTGCAACCCCAGTGGGCGGAGATGCTGGAGCACCTCATCTCTGTGCGCAGTCAATTGCTCCCGAGAGTGGGCTAAAATCAGCCAGTCGTCGAGATAATTGAGTACGCGGATGCCCGCAAGCCGCAGAGTTTGGTGAAGACCCGCGGAGACAGAGAGAGCCCGAAGGGGAGGACCTTGTACTGCCATGCTCGACCTTCGAACGCAAACCGCAGAAACTGACGGTGGCGTGGAAGAATGGAGACATGAAAATACGCGTCCTTCAGGTCTATGGCTGCAAACCAATGCTGAGGACGAACGCATCGGAGGATGCGCCTCTGCGTAAGCATTCTGAACGACAGCTTGTGAAGGCAGCGATTCAAAACGCGCAGATCTAGGATTGGCCGTGACCCACCGCTCTTTTTGGGTACGATGAAGTACGGGCTGTAAAACCCGCTCTCCATCTCAGCTGGAGGTACCGGCTCGATTGCACCCTTCACCAGGAGGGCAGCAATCTCCTCTCGCAAGACAGGGGCGGACAGGGGATTGACCCTGGTGAAATACACGCCCGTGAACCTGGGAGGCCGTTTGGAGAACTGTAGTTCGTAGCCGAGTCTGATCGTGCGTATGAGCCATCGCGAGGGGCTGGCCCACGCTAACCAGGCAGGCAGAGCCCTCGCTAATGACGTCATCGCAGCAATCGTTGACGTACCCGTGGAGGGGCAGCGAGGAGCGGGTGTGCTGATCCGGGGAGCGCGAGGGTCCCAAAGAAGAGCTGGAGGAGAGCGTTTCACTCTGGCTCCGCACCCTGACTCCTGAGAGGGGGCTTGGGGGCTGGGAGAAGGGAGACCATCCCCCCAGCGCCCGAGAGCTGCTGGCGGAGCATGCAAGCCCTGCGAGCTAAGAGGCAGCGCGTCCCAGACTGGCGGGGCTTGAGCTGTCACATCCGGGGAAGGGAGAAAATGCTCTTTGATCGAAACTTTGGTGGAACTGAAAAGTACCGTTGGAATTTGGGCCCCGTCCTCCAGCGGGGAAAGAGCAAGACTCCTCTTCTCCGCATGGCCTGTCTCAGGGACCCTTCGCGGTCCGTTTACCGGACTTAGCGGCGCCCTGGGCAGGAGGGGCTACCGGCTTCCGGCATGCTTGACGCGCCCGCTTCGCCGGAGGCGGAGGTGGGGGCGGGGCATCGGCCGTTGGCGGGCACCCTCGGCGAGGAGCAGCGGAGGTGGATGGCTCGGCCGGGGATGGAGCGGGCTTACGGCCCCGCCGATAGATGACTTTGTCCATCGCATCCGACTGCTTCTTCACCGCCTTGAACTCCTGGGTGAATTCACCGACGGTGTCGCTGAACAGGCCAGCCTGGAATATGGGCGCGTCAAGAAAGCGAACTTTGTCGACATCGCGCATGTCTGCCAGGTTTAGCCAGAGGTGGCGTTCCTGTACCACAAGTGTGGACATCGTCCTCCCCAGTGCGCAGGCGGCGGACTTAGTGGTCCGGAGAGCATAGTCGGTCGCCGTACGCAGCTCGTGTAACAAGCCTGGGTTAGACCCACCCTCGTGCAGCTCGGCCAGCGCCTGCGCTTGGTAGCGCTGGTAGGTGGCCATCGCATGCAAGGCGGAAGCTGCCTGGCCCGCAGCCTTGTAAGCTCTAGCTCCGAGGGAGGCAGAAAACTTACAGGCTTTGGACGGGAGACGGGGCGGACCACGCAAAGCGGGGGCACCACGCGGACAAAGATTGACCGCAATGGCGCGGTCCACCTGCGGGATCGCCTCATACCCCCTGGCAGCTCCACCATCCAGGGTGGTGAGGGCGGAGGCGGATGCAGCGCGGGCAGAGAAAGGTGCCCTCCAGGACTGCGTGAGCCTACTGTGCACTTCCGGGAAGAAGGGGACGAGAGGCTTCGAAGGCTTCGCCTTCTGATCCTCTACGTAACACCCATCTAGTCGGTCCGGCCGCGGGGCTGGGGGATGAACCATCTCCAACCCGACGGCCGAAGCAGCCCAAGAAAGCACAGCCAACATGTCCGCTTCAGGATCCATTTTGACGGCGCTCGCTTGCCCAGAGGGGGCGAGCGGGTCCGGATCATCGTCGGACAATGAAAGCCCACCCTCCGATGCCGCGAAGGACATCTGATCTCCGGTGTCAGCGAGCGTGAGAGCTACCATCTGATTAGACGGATCACTCCCAGTACCTGAAGCTTGGATGGAGCGCTTGGAGGAGCGAGAGGTCCGCGAGCCCTTGGGCGGCGGATTGTCTCTCGCTGAAGCCCTCAGATCTGCCCGAGCGCCCGCTGCAGAGCAGGAGGCAACTGGGGTGGCTCGCTCTCTTACGAAAGCTAACCGCGATCTCAACTGCGCAACGGTCATGGCATCGCAGTGACGACATGAACCGCCCCCGAGCACCACATTAACATGCTGGACCCCCAAACATGTAATGAAGTGATCGTGTCCATCATCCGGAGCCAGGAAACCCCCGCAACCAGAAACGCACAGTCGGAGCGCCATCCTGAAAAGGACGTGCTGCACGACTGTGTTGCTCTTTTAGGATTTGCAACAATACGCACCGCTCTTGGAGGACCGGACCCAAAGGGACGCCAGGCAAGGGAGATACCCAGCTCGACCGTCTGCCGCTGCGTGGACTCGCTCTGGACAGGGATGCAATTGTTCTCTCGAAATGGCTGTAGATCAGCAGGAGGAACCCTCATAAGCTCGATCAGAAAAGGCTCTGAAGCGAAAAGGATAGCGTCTGCTGGCGCCAGGCGTGCTTATATACTCAGTTGATTGCATATGCCGCACACCTGCGCAGGCTTGCGCTGCCAATTCATTCTTAATTGGCCCGTTCAATACTCTTTCAGACGAGTAGCTTCTGAACCGAATCTCCCATACGTGGATTTTAACATCAAATCCACTTATAGTGCTGGATTTCCCCCCGAAGGGGAACTGTTGTTATTGAGGCTCCTGCTGGTTGTATAGTTGTGTTTGTTGGAGTCAGGGCTGCTGTTTTAGCTGCAGCTGTAAAAGATGAACATTATTGATTCAGATTAGTCTTTCATACTTTAATTAATCAAAAACACTCCAGATAACTCATAAATACTTATAATAAACTCATAATAAAGCACTGATGTCTGTCAGACAGTGTTCAGACCTGGGGTCTGTTCTTCGTACGTGGATTACTCAGTTAGCTGGATTTGGATATTGACGATTTGACATGATCCAGGATCGTTTCGTTCTTCAAAGCTGATCCTAGAGTTGTTGTCATAGCAACAGTTCTTCTTGCTCATTCCTGGTCGGGAGCAGGCTCAATTCACATAAACAGGATTAGATCGGGTCAGTTCCAGCACAGATAACACAGAAAGTATGTGCTGAATTCTGATATTTTCTACATTACTAGTTATATACAGTTGGGAAAATGGTAAATATTTTTAACTATATATATAAAGTTATAGTTATTAATAAAATAAATAAAGTTATATATATATATATATATATATATATATATATATATATATATATATATATATATTATTACTTATGCATTAACTTTTAACTTATATATTAATAAACTTATGCAATCTCCACCCTCGAAATGAAAGGACAAAGACTTAGAGAAAACTTATTGAAATGAACTTTTTAGATCGCTTTAGTACAATTTGTGTATAATAGAAATGCACAATATGTGACTTTAAAAGCAATAATATATTTATGCAGTCATAAACATGTTTTGACAGTTAATATGTCGGTGATTTAATGCTTCACAAAGGTTGCAGACGCCTTTACCAACATCAAAATGTATCCAGTATTTTGTATCCAGTTATTATTTACACCGATTAAAAAAACGGCTACTATAATACTATTATAATGAGGAAAATCCGCTCTAACTGTAAAACTAAATTGCTCTCGACACATGAAAGAGCCAAGCATGCAGCCCACAACAAGGTGTAAAGTTATTGCGTGTCATACTTAACAAACCGTCGACTGCTTATTTGATGTAATTTTGCTCACATGGATAATTGAATATTAATTAGATGATGTCATTACGCTGCTGTGCCGTCAGCCAATCGCTGCATTGCTGATCATGATTTCGAGGATGGATAGATCTGTCCTTCACAACACACACAGCGATCTCAGATCAGTTCATCCAGACATTCTAATCTGATTCACGAACTTGTTTGAAGAACCAAATTAGCGAGAGATCAGTTATCAAGATTAAAAGATCCAGGATCTGCCAAATCATCTTAGATCATTTAAGCGAGCTACGAAGAACGGAGCCCAGGTGAAGCAGCTCTGGGTTTGTTTGTTTTAGGGTTTGTGTTGTGAAGTGGAGTCACTGCTGCTGCTGCTGCTGCTGTTGTTCTTTTAGCTGTAAAAGATGAACGTTACCAAATAAGGCTAATGAATATAGGTCAGTCATAGTTTATTTAGTCAAAAACAATTTAGATAACTCATTAACATTCATAATAACTCATTATAATGCATAATAAACTCATAATACAGCTCTGATGTGAGACACTTTTCGTGGGTTTTTTTCATTGTTGTGTTTGTGTTGTGGTCTGGAGTCGCTGCTGCTGGTGTTGTTTTAGCTTCAGCTGTAGAAGATGAAGGTGAATATTAATCATACAGCAGCAGAACATCAGTTTAATAACTCATCAACACACACTATAACTCTAGTATTGTGCAGTGATGTGAGAGAAACACTGCTCCACCTTCAGTTGTGTCTGCTGCTGCTGTTTCTGCTTGTGGATTCTCGTGTTTTGGCTCTGCTGTATTTGGCAGATCTGCGGCTGTAAAAGAAAACAAACTGAGTAGATGTCTCGTTAAAAAAAGTGACCAGAGTAACCTATACTGTATATAATCTAGGCTAAACTATAATTAAACTCAACAAAAGAGACCAGCAGAGATGTGTTGTGGCCTTCAGTCATTTAACCAGGTTTTACAGTATGGATAATGAGAAACACATGCTGCCAGTGTTCTTTAGTTAGAGTAAATGTGTAAATGTAAGCTGATATAAACAGAGCGTATATATATTCACAACAACAGCAGCTTCAGTTCACAACTGTAATGTACAGAGTTTAATCTGAATAAATAAAAACACTTTTACTGAATATCAAGATCAATATGAAGGCTATTATAGAGTATACAGATTCTATCATTAAATTAAACATGTAGAATATCAGCTGTTATAAACAGACTCAGGGCTGGAAATATGTATCAATGACACGGGTCAGAGTGACAGATGCTCGGGACAGAATATATTAAACGTGTGCTCATCTGAGAGTGCATGTGCCAGAGACAGACCCTTCTCTATTATTACCCCCCCCCCCATAACTAATACATTTAAACTAAACTATTACTTTAGATTTTAACTAAAAAATTACTTAAATAAGGTATTTTCATTAATACTTACTCACATAGCAAAATTGCTCTGGCCCAGCTCTGGCCCACACAATCAGCTTTTGCTTGGCCCACATGCCGCAGTGAATTACGGTACATGACTGGACCAAATCTGGCTTCCAGACAAAGGCCAAACACGGACCATATCTGGGGCAAGTCTCAGCCAAGTTAATAACTCATAACTGGGTCTGAACTGGGCCAGATAGGTTGGTGTGTCACGATTGCAATGAAATTGATAAACCCATGGAGTGATGCGCTTTAGGCACACTATGGGCACGCTTTTTCTCAAAGTGACCTGATTGGTAGAATTTTTTTTCTTTACTCAAAAATGATTTTAGTGTATTTTAAATGTGGGTCAAGACTGGCCAAACTCACATGGCCCACTTTCAAATTTTTAAATCTGGGCCAAACACTATGTTTTTCATCTGGCCCAGATCTTGTGTGCCGCCTTAAAAACGGTGCCACCTCTGCCAAACCCGGGCCATGTTTGGCCCACATGCTGTATACCAGTGCCGGATGAATGCCTGCTGTGCCAGCTTTATGCCAAATCTGGGCCAGAATTCTTTGCTACTAGGGTAGAGTGACTCTTCTGTCAGGTTTACTGTGGTTCAGTGATGTTAATGTGAGTGTTAAAGTGTCTGATGTTCTGACCTGAATAGTGGACAGTAAACGTGTCTGAGGTCTTCAGTTGATTTCTCTGATAGACTCCACATCTCCACTGTTTATCTTCATCTTCACTGATGAGTGTTGTAGACAGACTGATGATACAGCCTGTAGAAGAGATCTGATATCTGGAGTCTGTGTTCAGATCAACACCAGCCTCATTCACCCAGGACAGACGAAGATGCTGAGATCTAAACAAATAATCACAGGAGAATCCAGAATATGAGAACAGCCGACAGGAGAGAGTCAGAGAGAGACCCGGACGAATATCAGATGATGATGATGATGATGATGGAGAGACTGAAAGTGAACAGAAGACACAAATCACTAATCATGAGCTGAAACACAGAATTCAGCCCTGATTAAACTGAACACATGAGGAGGAAATTACCAGCAACAACATGCAGATACACATGTGCATTAGGTCCTTGTTTCTGGTCTCCTCTCCACTGTTGGCAGATGTAAAGTCCAGCATCTTCTGTTGTGACTCTACTGATGATCAGAGAGCAGTCAGAGCCCAGATTCAGTCTCTCTGAGTTTCTCTGCTTTACCCCTAAAGTAAACATTGAAACTGCTGCTGTCAGTCTGTGACTGTTGTAGATCCATGTAGTTCCTGATGTTCTGCAGTACTGATCAGTGTTTCTACAGGGCAGATGAACAGTTTCTCCAGAACTGCTGAACACATGAGTGTCTCCTGCTCCAAACACACCTGAAACACATAATATTAAATGTCATAATTCACTGTATCATAACAAATAAAAACAGCAATTTATTTACCCTTTAATTCGATACAGTGGACATTTTAGTGCTTATAATTTTTCTCCAAAATGTAAATTCTGTTAGAAATACACCATCATATAAACTGCTGTAAACATTTGAAACAATATGAACACTGCAAATGTTAAATACAGTGTTTTGTTCACTTTCTAAATCTTTTAAAATATACAGAACACTGCAGCAGAGTTTAAAGACATTTGTGCTGCTGGACCACAACACCAGTCATATCAGTCTAATTGTTTAAAATGAGATTTATACGTCATCTGAAAACTGAATCATTTTTATTCAACTTTACATTGATGTATTCTTAGTTATAATAGGACATTTGCCCAAGAAACAACTGATTCTGGAAAATCTGGAGTCTGAGAGATCCAAACATCTAAATATTGAGGAAATCACCTTTACAGTGTCAAAATAAAATGTGTAGAAATGCAAATTACTCACAAAAATATAATATTAGAAATAGATTTTAAATATCTTCATGACATAAACTCAATCATTTTGACCCAATCAATGACTCTCTAAATGTCGCCTAAACTCTGCCGCTGCATCATAAGACACTGAAGTCCAGAGTCACACACTGACTCACAATCCATTACTGCAAACATCACAGCCTCCTAAAACAGCCAGAATAATGAGCTGAAGTGCTGAGTTTATAATCTTGTAGATGATGAACAGCAGTGTTTACCTGTGCTGAGTGTCCAGAAGATGAGCAGCAGAAACAGAGGACTCCTATCAGCCATTCTGTGTGTCTGACACTCGTCTTCTGCTTTATATATATATATATATATATGTTGAGCTCTTGTTTAAACAGCAGCAGCTCTTCCTGTGCTTCTGCAGCTTCCTCTCAGATCAGCCTCACTCTTTGTCTTCCTGACACTACACCAGTTTATAGTGGACAAGTTTGGTGAACTGAACAGTTTAGGTAGTCGACACAACCGGCAAGTTAAATAAACTTAAATATGCAAGTTTTGGGAGACTCCATTACTCAATTAAATTGAGCCAACGAGTGTACTCAGTTAATTTAGTTCAGTCAACTTATTAGGGTTTTCAGTGTGTGTGTGTGTGTGTGTGTGTGTGTGTGTCTATATATGGGTGAATGAAGAAGAGACTCAGTTGTGGTTGAGAGCTTGGTTTCTTGGAGCTACTTCACACTGTTTGTATTGTGAAGTCCTGGTTGGGAAATCTTGTGGTTTAAGCTCAGGCTGAGCACTTCCTTATTGTCCAGATAACTGAGTGTTTGAAAGTGTATTGGTGCTGTCTGAATAAGAGTGGATGTTTTGGACACCATCATTATGAAGATTCATTCCTCCATTATCTGCAAGTCCTTAAATCAGCACAAAAGCAGATCAACACATTTCAACACACTCAATGTTTATTTTACTCCAAATCACTGACAGTTTATTATTTTAGTTTTTATGCATATATACAGTTTATTTCTTTGATGGAAAATATGTTGAATTAGAGAATAATGTCCCAAAATAAAGTTAGGAAACCCCCAATTGTAATGACGGGGGGAGTGACAGAGACAACTGGAGGAAAGATTCAATATGCAGGTTTATTCAGCGTCAGGCAAGCAATGATCAAACAGGTACAAACGGGTATATGCAGACAGTCCAGAGTCGTAGTCAAAACACAAGCAATAGGTCATAAAGCAGGCGGCTAAACAGGAGAACACGGGTAAACAAGGCTAAGGTCTAAACACGGGAAACAAGACAGGGAAACCGCTTTGTAATGCTACTGATACAGCTAACAAGACTCGGCCCCCTGCGTGAGTGAATGAGGGGTTTATGTAGCGTGTCTAATCAGTCTCTGACAAGCTTCAGCTGGTGAGAATGTAATCAGGCTACATGTGTGAGCATGGGTGTCTGGGAGAAGTGCATGTATGAATATGTAGTCCAGGAAAAGGCGGAAGTGTAGTCCATGGTTTGTTGTGAGATCCAGCGATATCTGGGGAGCGATCGCTGTTTATGTGACACCAATATCTTTAAAACTACTCTCTAATCAAAACACAAAATGTCTGAGCTGTTGGATGACGGTCTTTTCCTTAAGATAAGCATCAAAAAAAAAAAAAAAGATCACTGATTAATCATGATTTTGAGTTCACTACAGTTGAAATCTTAAGTTTATACATTTTTATGGTACATAAATTAAAATAATTCACATTTTTTAAATGATAGGACCAAAATGCAAAATTGTAAGTAATGTTCAGTCAACTTTACCTAATTGTTTAAAACATGAGGGTTTTCAGTGCATGGTCTTCTGTAACCTTCACTAATATTATCTGAAGAATGAACCCATAAAGCTCATTAAAGCACAGTGTGCTCCTTCTCTATGGTAGTTTCAGCTCTGTGTTTAGAGTAAATGATGACGAGTGAGCTGACTGACACTGTTTATATGTGCTTTAACACTCTTTTAAAACTCTTTTCATGCACTTAATCTGATTTTAATGTTTATTCTTTGGTGTTTTAATTGTTTTATACATATCTTGTGATTATTAAGCACATTAACCTGATATTGTGCATTAAATGTGCATTAGATTTTCAGAGCTGTGATCTCACTCTTGTGGTTTACTCCTGTTGTTCTTGGGTGTTGAAATCAGTTATTACCACGCTGGTTTCACCCACACATTTACTCACACGCTCCAGCAAACCAGACTACATATGTGTCTCAATATAAACTCCTGGCGTGGGGTTTTCTGAGAACACAAAGCAGAAACACAGAAAGAGGAAGAACAAACAGCATTAAACTAACACTGTGTCTCAGAGCTGATGCTAGACTTCTAGGGGCCCTAAGTAGAGCACTGAGTGTGGACCACTGTCAGTGCTTTAATAATCACCACAAAGCTCTTCATCTGCCATTTTACAGCAGATTCATCAAACTACACTGAGCTGAAGCAATCAGCAACACAAGTATTCTTCTTCTCTGGTGGACTTAAAAAGGGTCTAAAATCAGTGATGATCTTTAATGATCTTTAATGGATCAATGATTCTCCAACTCTACAAATCAAATCACTTGTATTGTCACATCATCAGCAGCACGTGTATATGATGAGTGAAAGCGCAGGTGCTGACTCCACACAGGGCAAAATACAGACAGTGCAAATACAACAACAGTGTAAAATTGACAGGGATCTAAGCTAAAACAAAGAAAATATTTAAAACAACTAAAGGGCTACATTCTCCATGTGTGTGATATCTGTGTACAGTGCAGGTGAAGACAGCAGAGGAGTGTGTAGACTGAGCTGAAGCTGCTGCTGGTGTTGTGAAGAGCGCTGGAGTCACTGCTGTTTAATCACACAGAATGTCTCTGCTTCAGCTTTAGCTGTAAAACATCAACATTAGCTCTGATAAATCACACTGGACAACATGACAATCACAGTAGAACTAGTCAACACACAAGACAACTCCAGTATTGCCCACTATAAAGCACAGAAGTGATCAACACACAGATCAGACCTGCTGTAGAAGATCCTGCTGGGTTTGGACTTTGTGGATCTTCACAGTTTGTGTTTCTGATCTCAGATTTACTCATTTAGTGGATTTTTAATAAGACATTTGTATAATGAAAATAAATAATAGTGAATCATTTTAAGAGTCTCTTGTTGGCCGGTTTATCAGAGTCCACCATGAAACAAACAATATATTAGCCTTGAAGATGTAGAAAAGAAGATGTGTTGTGCAGACACTGAGGCTTCGACGCCAGCGCAGATGTTTGGAAACACTGATCTGAAGCGTTATGAAACACACAGGTCATGTGACTAAAGCAATTCAAAGGCTCAGAGTATTTCACAAGCGTTTTGAGACCTGCCGTATCTGCATGTGATTGCCAGTATATACAGCAGTGGATCCTTATTCCAGTCCTCAGGACCCCCACCTGCACATTTGTATGTGTCTCTTATTTGACATGAGGATCAGTTCATGGATCTCTCTGTTAATGAGCTGATGATCTGAATCAGGTGTGTTGAGGAGTCATATAAGATGTGCAGGGTGGGGGTCCTGACCACTGGAATTGGGAACCCCTGATATACAGTAACATACAGTCCAATGTGCTGCGGGTGTCCCGAGTGTGAATGCAGGCTTGTGCAGATATTCAGAAATGTTGACTTAATGTCTTTATGCTTTTATGATCAATATAACACATATTTAGTCACTAAGAGTTCATTCACATGTCAGATTACAGACATTATAGATCTTCAATATAGACTATAGTTGCTCCAGCGTGGATTTGACTCAGATGTGTCTGCATGTCAGTCAGGAGCATTAACCACTGCAATCAATCTCTTGATATCCTCAGTCAACATGGGTCATGATCGCTCACTTCACTGCTTCTTCAAGTGTTTTAGAGTAATCCCTGAAAATGAGCACTGAATGTCCCTGTAGAGACAGGTCTCCAAACACCTCGGGGTTTCACAACGCCTCGCTCTGCCCAACACTATCTAGACCAGGAGTGTCCAAACTCGGTCCTGGAGGGTCGGTGTCCTGCATATCTTAGTTTAAATCAAACCCAATTAAACACAGCTGAACGCTCAATTTTACACTTTATGAGCTGAACCAGCCAATCAAACTTTGTGGGACACTGACCTTCCAGGATTGAGTTTGGACACCCCTGATCTAGATAGTGTTGGGCAGAGCGAGGAGTTGTAAAATTCATCATCATGTACCTGTTATAGAAGTGGAGTTTGTGCTGTGGTCTGGAGTCTCTGCTGCTGCTGTTTGAGCTCCAGCTGTAAAAGATGAAGATCAGATTAAACACTGCAGAACATCACAGCTGAACTAGTTATCTCCAGTATTGAACTCTGTAAATCAGTGATGTGAGATGAACACTGCTCCACCTTCAGTTGTGTCTGCTGCTGTTTCAGTCTGTGGTGTCGGCTCTGCTTTAGCTGTGAGATCTGGAGCTGTAAGAGATGATGGAGATGATCATTTAGCTCAATCACACTCCACAAAACTGTCACACTTTGAAAAAAAATGAAGGAATAAATGCAAAAGTGAACAGAAGACACAAATCACTAATCATGAGCTGAAACACAGAATTCAGCCCTGATTAAACTGAACATGAGGAGGAAATTACCAGCAACAACATGCAGAAACACAGCTGAATCATTGCCTTGTTTCTGGTCTTCTCTCCACTGTTGGCAGATGTAATATCCAGCATCTTCTGCTGTGACTCTACTGATGATCAGAGAGCAGTCAGAGCCCAGATTCAGTCTCTCGTGTTTCTCTGGGTTTGTCTTCTTTACCCCTAAACCAATCAGCTCAGCTGCTGCTGTCTGTCTGTCTCTGGTGTAGAGCCATGTAGTTCCTGATGTTCTGCAGTGCTGATCAGTGTTTCTACAGGGCAGATGAACAATTTCTCCAGATCTGCTGAACACATCAGTGTCTTTTTCTGCTCCAAACACACCTGAAACACAACATCTGAGAGATCACTGTTCTATATATTAATAATAGATTACAAAAAAAATAAATCAACAAATCTGTACACCTTTTACAAAGTCAAATTTAAGCCCTTTTCCAGCACTTTCCAGGTCCATTATCAAAGTTTTGGCAAATTACATATTTATACTTCACCACATTATATCAGATGCTCTTTCATATATGACAGTACAGTATAGGATAATCCAAGTCTTGATGTCATGTTTTCCCTAAGTCCAACATGAACTGCCGTTATTTTCTTTCTTATATTAAATCAAATCAAATCAGGCCTTTATTTGTCACATACACTTTTGAATAGTGAAATTGAACCCCCCCGACCGTACACAAACATCACAATTTTGGGGGAGACAGGTCACAGGAGGAAGCATTCAGAAACAAAGTAAGATACAACTGGGGCCTGTTTCAGTAAGGAGGTTCAAACAACTCAGAGTTTAATCTTGAACTCTGAG